GGTTTAAGCTTTAGGGTTTAGGGTCCGGGGGCTGTGACCAAAAAGGTCTTGTAAAGGGGATGGCGGGTTTTTGTAGATTTTCCGAAGTCGCACCATCAAAAGTTGTATATACGGGCTTAGTGTTCAGTTATGGGCTGTTTCTAATGGCCCATTTAACAGAGAGAGAGAGAGAGAGAGAGCCTTCCGGGACCCTGAAATCCTGGCTTTTCTTCGGAAGGCGAGTCTTGGGACAGGTATTCGGACAACTGCCAAGTGGGTGGTTTTCGAAATTGGGGTCCCTTTTAAGGTCCTTTTCATTTGGGTGCCGTACTGTTTTGGGGGACCCCCAAAAAGGGACCCTAACTTAGAGAACTGCCCATATAGAACCCTTACAGTACCCTTATAGAAACCTTGTAGAAACCATTATAGATCCTTTTAAGGCCCCTATATGGTACCTCTATTCTACCCAAAGTAGCGTTCAGGAGGGTTCTGGACTGAGGAGAAAGACTTTCTGAGGGCACCGGTCTCGCGCAGATTCAGGTGCGGCTCCAAATCCCTGCGCCTCTGAACCCTAAACCCTGCACCCTAAATCCCTTCACCTCTAAACCTAGACCCTGAACCCTAAATCCCTGCACCTCTAAACCCTAAACCCTAAATCACAAGCGCCCCACCCAAGCCCAAAGCCAAAGATCACCATGCAAAACAATCTGAAGCCGACTTAGACCAGAAGCAAGATTCGGTGGAGTTGAGGGTTTAGGGTTTAGGAGTTTAGGGTTTAGGAGTTTAGGGTTTAGGGTTTAGGGTTTAGGGCTTAGGGTCTTGGGTCTAGGGTTAAAGTCTTAGGGGCGGTTAGGATTCTAAGGTCTTGGGCTCTAAGGCTTTAGAGCTCCGAGCGTGAAGGGTTGGCAGGCGTTTGCGTTTAGGGCTAGCATTCCCAGGCTCCCTTGCATTAAAGGGCTTGGTGTTTAGGGAAAGTGGGGAAAGGAGGGTTTAGGGTTTAGGGTTTAGGGAAATGCTGACCTTGTATTGGTCGGGCTTCTTCCTATGCTTCCACCAGCAGCGAACCATTAACAAGGGACAGGGGGAGCGCGGCCCATTTCTTGGTTTGCAAGGCAAAATATAGTTGGTTTGGGGTTTAGGGTTTGGGGTTGAGGGTTTGCTTCAAAGGGGTTTAGGGCTGAGGGTTCAGGGGTTTTAAGGCCTAGGGTTAGGGTTTAGGGCAGGAAGCCCCAAAGGGAAAAACTGGGCAAAAGGGTATAGGTCAGTCCCAGGGTTCGGTTCGAGGCTAAGAGAACCCAATACCCCCTCAATTAAGGAATAGACCTTTAGATCATAATATTAAGGCCCCTATAAGTTAAGGCATACCCCTTAATTTAAGGAATAGACCTGAAGATCATAATATTAAGGCCCCTGTAATTTAAGGTATACGCCTTACTTCAGGAATAGACCTTAAGATCATAATCTTAAGGCCCCCTGTAATTTAAGGTATATACCCCTTTAATTAAGGAGTAGACCTTAAGATCATGATATTAAGGCCCCCATAATTTAAGATGTATATTCCTCAATTACACCCCCAAACCCTAAACCCTAAACCCTTGTCAAAGATATATATATATACATATATATATATATACATATATATATATATTTATTTATTTATTTATTTGTTTATTTATTTATATATATATATATTTATGTGTATATATATATATATTTATATTTATATTTATATTTATATTTATATTTATATTTTTATATTTATATATTTATATATTTATATATTTATATATTTATATATTTACATATTTATATATTTATATATTTATATATACATAAATAGATAGATAGATAAATAAATTGTATATTTGTATATATGTATATATATATATATGTGTGTGTGTGTGCACGTGCGTGCGTGTGCGTGTGTGCGTGTTTGTGCGTGTGTGCGGGTGTGTGTGTGTGTGTGTGCGTGCGTGTGTGTGTGTGTGTCTCACTCCGTGACTCAAGACAGGCAGCCAGCCGCAATGCTGTGGCTCTTGCGAGGCGCTTGGCACTTTTGTGCACCAGCAGAAACAACACCACTCAGCCCAACATCTAGATCTGTCACTGTTATGCTGCAGCTTTGGTTTCTGCAACACCATGCTACCTCCTGTCCGCAGTGAGCAACGACGCGAGCAACATCGGACATCTGTGCAATTCGTGTCCGGGCCCAGACGCAGCCATGGACAACTCTGCTCGACTCAGAGACTTTGCTTTGGCCGGCATCTTGGTCCAGCTCATGTAGACAAGAAAGCTCCGGGGGTCTTGCCTTGCAGTCTTTCCGGTGGATCTCCAGGTGGCTGCTGGCGCTGGGCTCGCACTTGCAGCGCTGCTGGTAGAGCACCGCTTGCGTCAGCGGAAGAAGGCACGCAGCCAAGCAGCCACACCCAAAAAGTTCTTCGCAGTGCCTCGCGCAGGAGTGGCTGCCCACATGCAGAGCAGCATGGCTCCAGGAGCCGGCAAGTCCTCTTGGCAGACCTCGGATTGCAGTTGTGGCCACAGGCAGCGTTGCATCGGTGAAGATTCCGGAGCTCGTGGAGAAGCTGAGTGAGATTGCAGATGTCACAGTGGTCCTTACAGCGCCAGCCGAGGTGATGACCAGTCAGCAGGTAGCCGGGCGATACTCGCCTGAACGCTATCGTGCATGGGAGGCCCTGCAGCGCGGCGGGGTTCATGTTTTGCGCGACATCGACGAGTGGGATGGCTACGAGGACGTCTCTTCGGATTCTGTGGTTCACATCGAGCTCCGGAGATGGGCCGACGTAGCGCTGGTGGCGCCATGCTCCGCGAACACCCTGGCAAAGCTGGCCTTGGGGCTCTGTGACAACTTGGCGACCTCCTTTTTGCGAGCTTGGGATCCTGAGAAGCCGCTTCTGCTTGCACCCGCGATGAACACCTTGATGTGGGAGCATCCGAGCACTGCGCAGCACTTGAACACTCTCCAAGCTCGTGGCTCCATCATCATCCCGCCGATCAGTAAGAAGCTGGCATGTGGCGATGTGGGCCGAGGAGCCTTAGCTGCAGTCTCCGACATCCTCCAGGCGTCAAAGGAGGCCTTCGAAGGGGCGGCCACCCGCCGCGCGAGCTCCGGCATAGGATCCTGGCGATTCCATGGATTTGAGGCAGGGCAGATCCATGTTCTCGTGCTAGTGACTGCTAGTGCCAGTAGGGCACTTCGAAGCACTCAATCCCCTTGCAGGAGTGGCGGCCAGCCAAAGACGCTTGAGCCAGTCGCAAAAGGGTCGCGCTGAAGTCGCAGTCAGAGTGTAGTGCGATGACGCCAAGAGGACCGTCAATGAATTTGCGGACAGAGCAGATCCAGCTTGTGGCATCTTTTCCTCAAGGGGCAAATTAGTTAATGCACCATTCAGACAGCACGTGTGAGCTTTTAGGCTGAAGACGATTCTGTCAGCAACTGCGTTGAGTCTGATTCGTGACATGCACCGGGAGCTTTTTTGTAGGATGGCGGCGTGTTCCGCTTGTAGGCATGGCTCCAGCCTTTTCCAGAGTCGTTTCGAGGTGGAGCAGAGGGCAGCTGCCCCGTGCTTTGCTCATTTTGCCAGGTCACTTGCGAGGCTGTGCAGGATCGCAGCGAGTGCATCTCGTGACCAGCGAGGCCCAGGGGAGGGAGGCCTGCGCTGCCTTGACCCAGGGCATCCAAGTGGATCAAGAGAGCGAGGACGGCGAGGAGGCTGAGTTAAAGGCGGTCTTGAATCCTCTTAGTCCTACTGTGGCTTTGGATTGCGAGGGAGTCCGATTGGGACGCTTTGGCCGCATCAGCCTTCTGCAGCTGCAGGGTTCCGAAGGTCAAGTCATTCTCGGTGATGCCTTGCGGACGGGTGTGGTGAAAGCCTTTGCGCCACTTCTCGAGAGCAGGCAGATCGTCAAGGTAATCCACGACTGTCGCGAAGACAGTGCAGCTCTCTTCCACCAGCATGGCATTCACTTGCGAGCGGTCTTTGACACACAGGCCTCGCATGCTGTCCTTGAGAAGAGGGCGGGCCGCGAGGCTTACCAGGCCTCAGCATCGGAGCTTCTGAAGCAATACTTGCACATCGAGCCGGAGCAGACGGAACTAAAGTCGGCTATGCTCCAGGATCCAGGCCTCTGGGCGCGGCGTCCCCTTTCCAAGGGCCTCGTACGGTATGCGCTCCATTCTGTCAGCCATCTGCACCAGCTCCACCAAAGCCTCGTGGCAGCTGGTAAAGAGAGCTCCAGCACAGCCCTGGAGGACTTTGCCGAAATTTTGCCGCCTGCAATCTTGTCCACAGTTCAGGGAGATAAGAAGCCCTGAGCCATCCTAAACCCTAAACCCTAAGGTCGCTCCCTGTTGCAGGAGTTTGCTCGAGCTTCGAAGCGTGCGGCTGAATATCGTGTCCTGAACTCCAACTTTCCTACGGCCCAAAGTATGGCAGCCTAGCCGCACAGACGGGGACGGCGGAGCTGGTGCCAACGAGTCTTATTACATATGAGAGATGATGATGATGATGATGATGATGATGATGATGATGATATATGTGTTCTCATTCCTTTGGCCTTGTTGTGTTCTTTTCGCTCAAGAGACTGCAACATTCCTCAGGCGAAATTGGCCAATCGACGGGTTTAGTTAGCAAGCTGTCGGCAGTATGCATCACACAGTTCTCACTCACTCACTCACTCACCCACTCACTCACTCACTCACTCACTCACTCATTTACTCACTCATTTACTCACTCACTCACTCACTCACTCACTCACTCACTCACTCACTCACTCACTCACTCACTCACTCACTCACTCACTCACACACACACACACAGAGACACAGACAGAGACCGACTGGGCACACATCTATACCGCAAGACTACCCGCACAGTTCCCATTGCCCTTCGGCAGTACCTAAAGCTTCTGGATAGGAAAGCTTTGTTGCCAGGCCAAGATTGGGACTCGGCTTTGGGCGCTAGTCGCGTCGCGGACAGCCGAGTGATGCTGGCGGGTTTGATGGAACGCGCAAACAAGATGGCGCGGGCATTTCCTACTGTACACGAAGCCAACACTAAGCAGCGAGAGCCTAGTCTATAGATCCAGCAGGAGCAAGAATGTGGTTCTTCAGTCCCTGCTGCATGCGACTCCATAATATTCCATAATTATGCCGTACCTGCCTGTCAGCAAGCTGCTCCTGAAGCTGAATGCCGGGCGCGTCGGTATGGTCTCCACTCCTGGAGCTCTCAGGCGATTTAAGGCCGGACAGAGGGACCAGGGCATCCCAGAAGAGAGGCCTCTGGGAATGTTCAGTTGAGGCGAGGTTCAATTATGAGAGTGCCTCAAGGGTACAAGGGAGCTGTGTTCAATCTGGAGAATCGCCAAGCCTCTATCTGTTTGTGCGTGTGGCATGTTTGGAAGCAGCAGCAGTCGTCAGTCCCCGAAGCGATGGATGTGCAGCCCCATCGTCGGTATCGACACACTCCGAGACCCTAAACGACCAACCCACTCCGGGCCTTTCCAGTTTCCCGAACGTAGAGCGCAAGATTCTGAATCTTGCTGGAGCGAGGAAGTTCAACTGGGGGATTTGGTTCTTTGCTGCGTGAGCGGCGTGAGTCTCGCGGGAGCCCCAGACGTCATTGAATCGAAACCACCGGGAGACGGTGAAAGAGTTTGGGCTTCGGAGCCTCAGAGCATGGATTGGGTTGTTGAGCATAAGGCTTGCCAGCACGTTTCTCTCAGCTTATGCTGAAGCAGACGATGGATCTTTGAGCTGCGTAGAGCCAAGTGCCCAGGGCATGCCTGGGGCCTGCCTGCAAGGTTACGCATCTCAAGCATTCTCAAGTACCGGAAGCCGCTCTTGCATCTGAATGTAAGTCGTAGACGGACCTGCATCCGAAGCCCCCATCTCTGGAAAGCAGAACTCCATGCCCAACCTCTCAACCCGCCAGGACGGCAGGTACATCTACCTGGACCGCTACGATCACGATTGGGATTTCTTCGATCATCAGCTGCGGCCAGCCCAAGAGCCCGAGGCTGACAGGGAGACGTGACTGCTGTGTTTTGTCATCTTTGCCTGGAGGATGTTGTAACATGATGATGCATAGATTTGGTCGATGATGTATTGTGGTGCTCTGTGCGTTGAAAATTGTTAGAAGGTGGTGGCGCCCAGGACAGGTGTGGTGGTGGTCCTGGCCGTAGTCGTTCATTCTGGTAATACGACAAAAGCGGTGGAGGAAGCAGGCGACAGTAGTGACAGTAGTAGTACTCGTAGCAGCAGAAAAGGCAAGAAGCAGCACCACAATCACAGTTAAGGCCTGCGCGAGTGCTTCCTCCGGCATGGTTGATGCCTCGTCCCAACACTGCAAGAGGTGGGTGCGTACGGTCGCGAACACCGCTTCCGCAGTGGCCTTGGACGGCCTGCTTATTGATCTTGCTTAGGGCAGGGAGGTTTTTGAAAGTTGTTGTGCCTCTCCGAGGTACATCCCTATTTTCGGACGATGTGGACCCTCTTCTGCAGCGAGGCCTGTGACATGTGTTCACCACCTCTCTTGAACTTCCGGTGCATCCTTCCTTGGGGTTGTGAGAGTGTTCGTTCATATGTGTAGTCGCAGGACCTACCCCCTGCCTATACATGAACTTCCATATTACCTTCCACACCCCACTGGGACATACATTGCCTCCCCCCCGCCCCCACCCCCCACCTGACCTTGAAGCTTGCAGCTGTTGCCCTGACGCGACCCCCCCCCAAGTCAAACGGTGGCTGAATTTGCCGCCCTCACGGCTCACAGGTTTTCGAGGGTCCTGGAACTGCCCTGGAACCTGAGTGGACGGAGTCGGACCGAGAACTGCACGGGCGGCTATGCACGAATTATCTCACGAATATGCTGAAGATCCAAAGCTACTACCTGTAACGGCCTAGGGCCTAGGACTTATCATGAGATCAGTTCACCATGTATTGGCGACACGTCTGTTGACCAACGCGAGGGACCATAATTAGAATGGAAAAGCAACTCGAGTTGAATGGAGGGTCCTCTGTGAATCTGGCAGATGCGTATGGCAGGTTTTTTGTGGCTACGGAAAATAAAGCTTACCATCTGAGTTGCAGGCTTGCCGGGGCTCCAGATGGAGGCACGCCGCAGCGAGCACAAGCACTGCGCACAAACCTCCAACCCTTCCATTGCCCACTGGAAAGAGCCTCAGCTTTGGCTTCTGTAGTCAACCCTAAGAGGCTTGCCGTGCTGCATTGCCTTGTTGCAGGCGACAGATGCCTGGGATGCCAGCCCCGAGGCAGACAGTGAGTATTTCGTGTCCTGAAGATCTTGAAGGGCATCAAAAACTATACTGTACTAGACTAAGACTGTGACTACACTATACTGTGATAAACTATATGGTTTTCAGGAGTTGCAAGGGGTTGGAGGAAGACAAGGAGCCAGCTTTGCCAGATTGCAGTTGTTGGTTCCACCAGGATCTCGATGCATCCGTCCCAGAAGGCTTCGAGAACAGCACGGATATGCACTGTGAAAGAAGACACTGCGATGAACAGCTTCTTTCAGCACCTTGTTTGTGTCAGCATCGGAGTTCGGTCTTGTATCAAGGAAGTATTACAGGTGGCCCGGTGATGGAACAGCTGCGACGCCATCCATTACGGTTCCTTGCGACTGTGGTGGTTTCAATACCATTTTCCTGGAAGTGCAATACCGCTGCAGGACTGAATGGCACCCGCTGCTGACGAGCCGCGACAGTTCTCCGGAGAAAAGCAGCGGTCCGCAAATGTAAAGTTTTTGGCACAGCAGGAGTAGAAATCAAGTGCTGTAGAAATGCCAGCATATACAGTCAGGCCGCTTTCACGACCTACAGCCACATGGTCATCTCGCCACAGGGCTCAGGGACAGCTGGGCTAGAAAACCCGACGGGCAAGATGCGATGTCTGGGAATCCAGGAGCCTGCAAGCGCCTGAGTTTTGCTTGTAGGGTCTTGTTTCTCAGATCGGTTCCTATGCGTTTGTTTCAAGGTCCAGAGAATCCAGAGAGTGCATGGAGCCTACTAGACTGTGCCGGAAGCCCAGCGAACTCAGGGAGGCTCTGCCTGGGGGTGGCTGGACCTGTTGACGGTGACAAGATATGATGGGTCTGCCTTCGTCTTCGCATGAAATGACGAACCGGAGGACACAGTTCCCTTGGAGCTGGCGGTCGTCCCAACAGCATGACAATCGATCTCGGTGCCTGCTGCAACGATCCTCGGTTCCAAGATCCCTGTAGAGATGTCAACATGCGATCCTTATGAGGATCAGCACGAGGAGAACGACGAGACTTGCTGTTGTTGTTGCAAGAGCCGTTCTTGCTACTGCTTCTGCTGCCGCTGCAGCTATTGCTGTAGCTGTTGCTGTAGCTGTTGTGTTGCTGTAGCTGCAGCTGCAGCTGCAGAGGTGGCCGTTGCCGTTGTCGTTGTTGTTGTTGCTCCCAAATGCCGAGGCCAAGTTCTCCTCCCAAGGAGGAGCGCTTTTTGCCCCATCTGAGGAAGCTCCGTCGGAGGCCACAGTGGGAGCGGGAATTCTGGTCTTCGGAGCTTTTGGAGCCGCAGAGGTCTACGAAGTGCGCGGGGATGGAGGAAGTGAAGCTGTGTTTACAAGACATCTTGGGCTGCAAGGCTCGCAGGGCGAAAGAGCGGATGATCGCACGCAGCCTTTGGCTCCACTCGGGTTAGGTCTGGGAGTGCAAGTGGAACGAGTCGAGGACGAACATCTCTTTGCCGTTTTCAATCTTATTCCTTCACGCCGCCACCATGTATCTGTCCATGATGTTGTTGTCTATAGTACTGATAGAAGAAGTAGTGTTAGTGGTGGTAGAGGTAGACGCAGACGTTAGTAGTAGTAGTAGTAGTAGTAGTAGTAGTAGTAGTAATCGTAGTATATAGTGATTGTTATTATTATTAGCAGCAGTGGTAGTAGTAGAGCCAGGAAGAGAGAGAGAGCGGGACCGGGTGTACATGCAGTGGCTTGCTTTCGTTCCTCATCACCGACCCGACGTTGATGTCATTTACGTCTTCTCAAATGAAGGGTGCCAGATCCAGGATGAGAGAAGGAGTGACCGAGATAGACAGATCAGATAGGTCGGTAGACACGAGCGCACACAGCATAAACCCCAGAAGCATTAGCTGTGACACCCTAAGCTCCTCGCTCACCTGGAAGTCCACAGCTTTAGTAAAGCCCTTGGGGCTCCGGTGACATGGCCCTTGAGCTGAACAGCTGCACGCTGGAGGACCGGTGCCGGGCGAAAACGGCTTTCAAAGGAGTTCAAGCATGGAATGCATGCACAGATACATAGATAGATATAGATTGGTTGGTAGATAGCCGATACCTGCAACAGACAGGCCGACAGGAAGACAGGTGGCATTTCTCTTGAACATCGCAGTCGTTTCACGCTGTCTCAAGTTCTATCCATGTCCTTCTGGATGGCAAGCCCAGCCCGCTGGAGCCCTCCATCCTCAAACCTTCCTTTCATCCCCAACGGTTTCGAGGAGCTCTTGGCGATAGGCCTGGATGCCGAGGCTGCGCAGTTTCCCGGCAGATTGGACACGGGGCGAGGCAATAGCTCGAACACAACTGCGAACCGGCAGACGTAGATCTCTAGCAGTGGAGGTGCCCGCTGCACTTCAGCACTTCTCTCTTTCTTTACCGAGGCGGCTGCTGCAGTTCCGGCCTTACCAATGCCTGGACGAAGCCCAGAAGGCCTGGGGGCCATTGTATACATACATACATACATACGTACATATGCGTGTGTGTGTGTGTGTCCAGCTATATATCTCTCTCTATATATATCTATCTATCTATCTATCTATCTGTATGTATGTATGTATGTATGTATGTATGTATGTATGTATGTATGTATATATATATATATTTTTTTTTAATATATAAGGGCTCTCTTCTTGCCTAATGAGAGGCCTACGAGGAAGCGACCGCCAGAATCCCGAGCTTATCTTCCATGGCCCCGAAACTTTAGAATCTCTGGAAGCCAAAGAACCCCAAGCAGCAGAGATGTGCTTACATCCTGAAGAGAGGTCCAGGACAGGAGCGCTGCTTCGTCTTTGGCGGGCTGCTCTGTGTTACCATCTTCGGTGACGGCCGGTCACAGAGTCTTGCAGTGCTACGAAGACATGAAGCTGTTTCTTGGAAGTCTCAACTGAGCTTGTTTGCTTAATGGCCTTTCAGTGAGCAGGATTTCATACACCGGCCCTGAACCCAACATGGGAACCCCTCCAAGGCTGCTGCCGGGAGGCAGTGAGAACGTCTTGCGCGCGTGGTTCGGAGATCCCGAGTTCCCGTGGAAGGATGAGATTGGCAAGGGAGCTTCCTGCACCGATGCTGTGAAAGAGGTCCTCCGGGCAAACCGTCCTCTTATCACCTCCTGTGCTTGCCTGGGATGCGATCCCGTTCCTGGTGTGTGGAAGCAATTCAGAGTTGAGCTCATGACTTTGGATGGCTACACTGCCGAGGAACCCTTTTACCCCAAGTTGTATGAGACTGTGGAGGAGGTCCCCTCCTACCCTCAATGGGTGGCCTTCGTGCGACACGCACAAGCTGGCCACAACGTCGACCGTGCCTTGATCGAGAAGCCCGACAACCCCCTGACCGAAGTCGGTGTTGCGCAGGCTCTCAAGGCTCGCGAGTCAAAGCGCCTGAGTGAAGGTCTGCAGCTTGCAGACTATGTTTGGAGACAGAAAGAATTGAGATCTGTTCAACAGAGTTCGACATGCATTCGTAATTGTAGCAACATAAATTCTTCAGAAGAGCTGGAACGCGTTCGCGCCATGCGAGGCGAAGGAGGGGCCTGCCGGTGCTGCAGTTCGCGCAGCGGAGCTCGTGGTGACCAGCCCGCTGAAACGGGCCATGCAGACAGCGGGCCTTCTTTTGGGTGGGTCAGGCGCTCTGCCTGGGAATCAACTTGCCAAGCAGACCTATGCTTGCGAAACGATATCACCAAGCCCTTGCTGTCGGATGGAAGAATCTCGGCCCCTGTTCCAGGCCATGCTGAGGTGGACTCTGGGATAAGCGAACGATGGAGCGCACCCTGCGACGAGGGGACAGCCAAGTCTGAGCTGGTCACCTGAGCTCAAGAAACAAGCTACATGTAGTTTTTGGGAACAGCGCTAGAGTCGAGTTGTGTTTGCGAGGTGTTGGCAGTGTGACTACAAGAATGGGGTACTAACTCAGCATAACTGGCCAAAGCGTGTTGCTTCCAGTCAGATAGCAGTGCAGAGACTGAGCCTTCTCTTTCATTCTTCGGTGTTTGCGTCCCCTACCGGCCCTACCCACTGCGGGGGGGGCCCGCTACTGAGCTGGATCGGGGGCGCCTGCTCCAAGGTTCTTGCAAGACATCCTGGACTAGAGGAAATCTCGGAGTGGAAGGGCCATGGCCTCACGGAAGCTGTCACATCCAGCCCGTGCTCATGAAAGATGGGTTGCTGCCAACTTTTTGGTCTTGGAAGTCTGTATGGAGCAGCGGCGGGCTCAACAAAAACTCTCGCCGAGTACGTCACGGCTAGATTATCTAGCCATAGATTTCGGGGGCACAAGCGTTCAAGTAGGTCGCTAAGGAGTCCAGGAAAAACAGACATGAGGCACGACGAAAACGGTAGAGCTGTGCGAGCGCCTGGGGCCCGGGGCGACCCTGCTTTCAGCGAACTTCAACCATTCTCCAGTCGCCTTCCCAATAGAATCAACCTAAATTCTTGAGCCCGACAGAAGGGTTAGTAGTCCTTTTCGCGGAACGCAGCTTTCGATTGGCTGAGGCTTCTTGCTCCATCCGGTGTGTTACATACGTACCTGTACTTTCTACTTACATACTTGCAATACACGTGTAAGAATTTGTGTAGTATATATACAATCGATGTGCAGTATATGTGCAATATAGGTGTAGTTTCTGTGTAGTAAATAACATCCGCACTTGAGCAGAGACCGAGGTCTTCAGGAGCTCCCGGAAGTTTGGTGGCCAGAGCCTGGGGAGGAGGGGGCCTAGACCGACATGGTGTCAAGAGGTATAGTATAGTATAGTATAGTATCATCGTATCGTATAGTATAGTACAGCATAATATAGTACATTATCGCATAATACTGTACAGCATAGTAGAGTAGAGCATAGAAGAATGGTAAACATTGGATTCTTTTTATTAATCCTTTTTGCTCATCATCATCTTGCTTCACTACTCTTATCCGCTTGTCTTGCTACTGTTCCTATCTCACTACC